AAATGCGTAACCAGAGGAACTTTTCTCTCCTCGAGTCATGGAACACATCTTGGGGTGATATGAAAAATTGTTGGGCCGCGTGGTTATATTTCAGGGAACCCAACAAGTTGGGGGGTTTTTTCCCCACAACCAGATTCTTTTTCGAGATGCGCAAGTAAACCCCTGGGGTTCATTAGCGAGACGAATCGTTCCTCGACTCCAGGAAAGAATGTCTCTCGTTCCTCGTCACCTTCTTCTAATATTTAGAAAATGAATAAGATAAAACAGAGAGAAAAGAAGAGGTTTCCGTCGACACGAAGTATGGAAAACTACTAACATACTTTTTGGTTCGCTCTGTAATTTCTCGTTTTCTCCTTCACAATAACATTCCCTCCGATAAACAGGGAAGAAATGCCAAGAGTGCATTTTCGTGTTGTTTGGATCCCTTCCATATTTTTTCAAACATTTTAACCGATTTTCATCATCAATTTGAAGCAGAAAATTTTATAGTTTTGCAGCACTGGCTTTTGCATAATGTTGAGAAAATCAATAATCAATTTACAATGGGTCTTATGGAACATTTTCATAGAAAAATCCAACAGAAATACAAAAGTGGTGAGACTAGGAATTTCTGCACAGAATTTCTCTCGAAAACTGGAAAATGTGATTGAAAATATTGTGTAACACATTTGAGAGTCACACAATGAAAACCCGTGTTCACGGACATTGAGAAATATTAGTCTCAACTTTTATTGAGTGCAAAAAAGTAGATAACTGAATCAAAAAGTGATACTGATTTCCATTAAAAAAAGATGACGTCGTAACTTGCGCTTTATGAATAACCAAGAAATGTAGCGGGTTTGATAGTTACTGCGATTGGTGAATTTATTTAATTCAAATTTAGAGTTTCGTTGATTTGAGCCATCAGGAAAACCGAGGTATTCTCAGTTTATTCATTTTTGGTTAAATTTCTCCGTGTGTTTTGACTTTTGAGTTTCGTTGGAGGAACATTACCGTTTGTTTCAGTGACAAATGAATACTTTATTTTGCGAACTTTGACAAATGTGGTTGAAAGACTGGTACAAAATTAGCTTCTCAATGCGTGTGGTTGAACTCAGGTGTCAGTTTCAAGGAAACGCACACTATTTATTCTCCGAAATCGGAACTTTGTCCTGGAAGAAAAGTACTGCACGATACTTGATTTCTTGGAAAAACCTCCCTAACCCGTCTATTCTCAGTTTATCACGAAGCTTCTTTCCCGTGTCTCTCTGTCAGAGTTAACTGGGTTCAAAACCCCCCGACCACGACCAGAAAAGCGCATAAAAAGTGTATTTTTGAAAACAGTTGCCAACTTTTAGTGGCGCCGTTCGTCGGGCGCGTTTGCAAGTGCCGGTGTAGTAGAGTCGGCGGAAGAAAGCCAATCCCGCTTTCACCATTCGAGTGAAAAGTTTGCCGAAATCTGCCAGTGACATGAGCAGGATTGGAATGCCGAACAGTGCATAAATAATTGTCACGATTCGCCCGAGGCTCGTCACTGGCGCAATGTGTCCATAGCCTGCAAAAATTGTATTGAAAAAGGCAATACAATTTGACACAATCAACTCAAGTGAGCAGATTATTACTTTTTGCGCGGGTCATTTCGACTGCATCAAATTTTTCCCGTTAAATTTCGGAAGCTTTTGCAAGGCTGCCGATTATCTGATTTGACATAGTACAATATTATCAAATGAAGGACCCAAAAGACTACAAGAAAATATTAGTCTAGTTCAAGCCCTTGCAATTTTAGAGGCATTTCAACACGTTGACAGGAACTCCTTCAGAATGAATACTCAGATAGAAGACTTAGTCAGTAGACTCAGTACTCAGAAAAACATTTTTGGTTTGCTAAAGTTTTTGAGTCAAGACTTAAGACTCAAGAATCTCCAAAGCACTGTGTGACTAACAAGGCTTCAAACGGGTTTTTGCAAATTTCCGACAATTATTTTGTCGAGAATTTAGGCAAATTTTCCAGTTTTGATTCGGAAAATTCTTGCTCATTAGGTGTCATTTTATGAAAAATTCACATTCAACATCATTAAGAAGTTAACTTTTTTTTATAAAAACGCTCTTCCCACTTGAAAATTTCTGAGCGGAGAAATTGAAAATAATAAAATACAATGAGGTACAGTATATGAAAAATCTAATTTAGATTCAGTTGCATTAATTAGCATATAAGTAAAAATAACTATATACTGCACTCAAATTCATCTTTTATTCGGATTATCAAGTCTGCCAGTTGTTTTCTATATTTCTTTTAAAAATTGTTTCGAAGTGGTTCATAAGCTCCAAAACGTAAAAACTTTTCATTAAACTTTGTAACCACGAACTTCCAATTTTTAAAATCTAAATAACTGGAAAAAAGATGCACATGGATCTCTCGTAAATACGGTACTTTAAAAGATATTGAAGAATTCTAAAAAAATTACCGATTGTCGTGATGATCGTTCCACTGTAAAAGGTGGATCCCCAGAAAGTCCAGCTCCTTTTGCCGAATCCCTTGGTGATACCTTGGTCATAGGCAAGGTACAGCACTTGCTGCAGAATCTCCAGTTGTCCCAGAGAATTGTTTTTGAACTCCTGCACTGAACTAGACGCACCTGCTTGCCGCCACAACTCCGTCAACACCCGGTCTTGAGTCTGTTCCACGTCTATTTTGGTATTTTCTTCGTGCGGACCTTCGAGGGTCTTCAGGAAAAATATTGATCATCAATGAACCGAAGCAATTAAACGCAATCCCGGAAAAGGAAATATTGAGTCATTTGAGGAAATTTCCGTCGACTGAACTCACAGAACACGTGAACACGAAGTCATGAGACTCGTATAAGAATATGCGGCCTGAAGCTGACAACAAATTGACAGAAAGTAAAGATTCTCTACAAATTTTCCAATCAATTAAACATCATCTGGGAAAAGGCTGAACACCTTGCGCTTTAATTTGGGATCTGTAATTGCCTGATGTTGCAATTCTCATCACTGACATTTCGTTTTTGTTATCCGGGAAGGGAAGAAAGTGTATGTTTTTACATCAGTTGTGCATTTGAACATTTTGGGATGCTTATTTCTCTATTTTGCATTCTGATGTGAAGTAATGTGTTAAAATGCAGGAACTTTGCTTGAAACTTGAGAACACTGAAAAGCAGAAAATAAAACTTGCTGTTCAATTCAAAGCATGCAGTATTTTTTTATAGAGTATCTCGCGAATGATGATTATGATATTCAACATTTATTTAAGAGAATTACGTTTTATTCTCAGGTAAAAACAGTTTCATTGGTTATTCAAAAGTATTGATGCGATCAGAATGCGAAATCAAAGGGAAATTATGCTCCATAGAAAAGTAGACGTGGGTTCCTAGCTTCCTACACAGGTTTTCAAAATTATTCATGGCTTTAATTTGTGAATAAATCAGTTCCGGAAAAATCTCCTGCTTTTAAGAATTGTAAAAAAAAGCTTTCCAATATTTTCTACGATATTTAACACTCTGGCGAAGGGAATTGGCGGTACATTTGCCTCGTTTTTTGTGTCACTGTTCCGCCGTTTTTTATTCAGAAAAATCGATTAAAAATGCAATCGCTTCCTATTAATCCATCACGAATGGAAGCATAAACGCCTCTAAGATGTGTTCTGCGTCTGTGAAGTGTTTTTCGAAATTTCGGTTCTATTTATCTGCTTCAATAAATTGTTGAAAGACCCTTGGGCCGTCGCGAATTTAAGTTTCGCTCGGATGAACGAGAAATTCGTTGCTGCTCACTGCGAAAAATCCAAGATATCTGGCTGTTGAATACCGACTAACCGAAGGACAATGATTCAAAATATTCATGTCACCTACTTTGAAGATGAATCCGCCGAAAGCTGCATACAAGAACAGGGACAACATGAGAAGAATGTGCGTGAACCATTTGCTGGACGCCGAGGAAACCGTGTCAGACAACCAGAGCAAAATTCTTTGCGGGATGCTCAGCGATTTAGTCGTCGCCTCCTTCACCTAATATAAATATAACAAATTGAATACATATTAGGCATAATACAATCATTACTTGAGACATAGGTTATCCACAAGGAGGCACGATATCGGCATTCTTTCGTCTTGCAGCTGCCAAACACTGCCATTCAATAATTAAANATAAAAAATAAAAAGTAGATTCAGATCGGGACAAGGCAGGGGATTCTTGGTACAATCCCTCATTAAAATTTAGAATATATTTTGAATTTATCCCAACACAGCAAAGTAAATTTAGACAAAACTTCAGATTATTTTCACAACAGATAACCTCTCGGAAATGACTTTCTTTGACACAACCGTTCCTGACAACAGCAGCACAGTGGATTGATGATGATATTCTGTATTTTCAGGTATTTATTAATTTCTTCATATTCATTGTCCTTGATCCAGTATTCTGATAAAGGACAGGATGAAGCAGACAGCCTGTGATTGGCCAGGAAAATTTTGAATCAAAGATGCCTTTGACACCATAAGTTTAGATTGTTTGTGGGGAGAGGGGAAATGTGCTGCCAGTTTTCACCAGAATTTTTCCAATCAATTTGATTTTACCCTGAATTATTTGCATGCCTCAATTAACAATCGGGGGAATCAGCACCATCACATGGATATAGGCATTCATGCAAAATCCACAAATTGCAGCATGAATAAGAGCTATGCAGCAGACTAAAGGAATTCAAACCACTGCAGTTTTTTCTTCGAAGGACTTTTCAAACATGAGAAAATGAACACATGTTTGGCACAATATCAACACGAGTATAAAAACGAAAAATGATCGTTCAATGTCAAAATATTGTGCAGCAATACCGGTATTTAGACTTTTTGATACAACGCCGCTGAAACTTCGCCAGAAACTATAAGGAAACTTTGTACGGATTGATATCTTTTTGTCTACTCACGAATTGTATTCAAATTCAAACGTTTTTTCCTTATTCTTTCACAAACGAAGAAGACAAAGAAATGATGAATCGAGCCCGAGAATGATGTACAATATTTTCCTCAAGGTTACCGTGATGTTTCTTCTTGAATGACCCTCTCATTGCTAGATGCAAGCAATGGAAGTTCCCCAGAAAATGCATTTAAAATACAGTACTGTAATGTAGCAGCCCACAATCCAAAGGTCGTCGATTCATCGGTGGAATATTACTGAACGCTGCTTTTGAAAATAAAAAAGGAATTTAAAGAATCTTGATAATGGATAACAATTATACGACTTAATTTTGAAGCGCATGAAACTTACAGTTGCATGGGGTGAATCGAAAAAAGTTTATGAAGCTCTCTCACCTTGAAATCTTTTAGGTTTATCAATATTTTCCTTTATGGTTTCGCCGATAAAAAGCGAGTAACGTTTTTCCAACTCATGACCAACCTCATGAGGATCGAGCTAAATAAATTATTTGATCCGCGCTGAATCTGCTTAGATTAACTTACAAGCACTTTTGAAGAGTTCAACTGAATTTCTCCATATAATAATTTATTTTTAAATACTAATTCGAATCTTTAAAATTAATTTTATTCATATCCTATATAAGCTGAGAGTTGGTTTAGACCGCAATGCATAAATGCAGAGATTCACGTACAGTACTTTTGTTCATCGCATACGTTGAAATATGATGAATCTGTACTTCGTTTAATGATGCATCATTTTATTCGTAATAAAAAAGTTTTCAATACCGGAAGAAACATATCTGTACATTATTTCTTGCTTGTTGCTTCTGACATGTAATTCGAAGCTTGAACTCGAACCAGGAAAAAGTGTTTTAAACGCTACCTGTTCGAATAACCTTTCAATTAATTTTTATTTTTCCTACGATTTTCTTCGAAGCACTGCTTCGGTACTTGTCGAAAACT